TCAATTTGAGGTAGCAAATAGTTGGTTATCATAGTGCGATAACGGTTGCCATTGATGGTTCTCGCCGCCATCCTTTTAGAAGAACAAACAAACACTGGCTCATAAATCACATCAAACCGTTGTTTTTCTGGATGAAATGACATCTCTTGAATAACTGCGGGTGCTCATCGGTCCAAATGTGGCAATTTTCCTTGTTTACTTACCCATTGAGCCAGAAATGAGCATCAACGCTGAACAAAGTTTGGGTCGAAATTGTAGGATATTCTTTGAACTTTTCAAGAACCCATAGAGCGAAGCGAAATCGAGCGGGTTTTCAGTTCTTGCACAAGCTGTATTTTTTACGCTTTCAATTGAAGATCTCGACGTAAAATGCACTAAGTAGTTCCATACATCAATCCATACGTCAGTCCGAGTTGCTTCGGTAAGTAATTGTATATTACCCTGGGTCAAATATTATTATTATTATTATTTATTTATTTCCTAAGAATAGCCTAAAATATTGTATGGATAATACTCTCTTTCTTACCACCCAAAAATATATGGTCGGGTTCTTATACTTAATCTTAATCATATCAAATGTCTCTGTCGCAGATTTACCGAGCTAAACATAGAATGTAATCGCTTCCACCACTCCCCGGAATACGTAGCGCAAAAATGTTCGTCCTAACTTTCCAGATGCTTGGAGACAACTGACCTGCCTACCGAATCCAGTCGGTTCGCGTACGCTACGAAGTACAGTCGTTGAAAATCAGTCCTATTACTTTCCGGCCAAACGATATACGTGACATTTTCCTTCGCATATTTTATAGATCAATAAAAGATCAATACATTTTTCGTTTTTTGGAAGCTCGCAAACTAAAAGCTCAGTATAAAAATACTATTAAATTAAGCTAATAAATTCAAGAGCTTTGAAAGCTTATCAAACGCATTTTACTATGTTATATATATATATATTTTTTTTTTTAAGTTTTCTTATATACTATTGAAGCTACGTTCATGATCGAATTTTACATTATATGCTGCCGGCTCTGTCTTGCAACAACAATATAGACGTATCAAAGGTTTCGTTTACAATGTGGTCGACACCTGAGGCGAGTTTACCATGTGGAACTGACTATAGACCGCACAAAAGATTTTGGCTTACAATAACAAATATAATGAAAAATGCATTTGTGGGAAAAAACTAAATCTATTACATATATTAGGGTGTATATAAAATGTTCAAGGAAAGTTTTGGGGACGAATGCATATGGTAGTATTCGAATACTTTAAAAGGCAACTTTTGTAGGCTTTCTGAACAAAAAAAAACCTTAAAAATTATTTCCATGCGTGAGCTCAAATTTCGTGTGCAGAATCGTTGTGAATGTTGGAAAATGCTTACCGTGATTTAGTTTTATCAAAAACACGAGCCTACAAGTCGTAGAAAGCTTTCAAAGACGGTCGAAAAATTGTTGAAGACATGTCTAGTTCCACGATTGTGATTGAATTTAAAGCCAAAACCCCAAATGAATACCATCGACCAAACACCGTATTCACTAGATTTGGCTCCGTCTGGTTTTTTCTTATTCCCAAAACTGAAATTGCCTCTCCAATTGTTTTCATCGAGCCTTGGGTCAAATAAAATGCGACATATTATCGGGAAAGTGTTCTGGAGGCTACTTTGAAGCCGTGGGCAAACACATATTTCGTTCGCAAACCATGGACATTTCAACAAGATTCAGCACGGTCTCACATAGCGCGAGTGAACCAAGAATGGCTGAAAACCAACGTTCCGAATTTCATTTTGGAGAGCAAGGTCCGAAGTAAAAAATACCCCAGTCTCGAGATGCTGAAGAAAGTCATTATCCGTGAGTGGGCCAAAACACCGGCAAGTCACATTCGGGCAGCTTGCGATTCGTTTTTTGACCGTCTCAAGGCCATAGTTAAGGCAAAGGGTGGTCATATCGAGCAAAAGTGAATTTGTCCTGAATTTATGATTATTTTTATACATTTTGTACTTTAAAATAAATAAAAATAATTTTCCAAACCGAATTTATGGCTTTATTAATTGGTTATATTTCGAGTGTCGGACCCTCTATATCTTCAAGAAATTTTTTTTATATTTAATTTTTTCAGTACCGCCCTAATATATACATATATAATACACACGATCAAGACTTAAAAAATTATATACATTTTTAAGAATTTTATAATATTTATTTTTTTTAGTTCCACCGTAATGTTTTTGACCATTATGATGTTAGACAAGACTTTTTGAAAAAATATAAATCTTCAAGAATTTTTTAATATTTTTTAACCTTTAATGTTTTTTAGTACCGCCCTAATACATATACACTTAAATACTTACAAGTGTGCATAAATGTGTTAGTTTACATACATATATATTTACATTTATTACATTTCTGCATTTATTTTTTTTTCAGCAAAGAAACACAATAACAACATAGTAAGTCACAATCAGCACGCTCTTCTTCTTATTATTGTCACATGCCAGCTGCTGCATACCTCGCCATAGGAAGTAGCTATTGAAAGGCTTTCAATATTATGTTTAGCTTGCGACAAGTTGACTGTGTGCTGATATTGCAGCAACCTCAGAATCCCATACAGCATGCCAGGATGCGACTTATGCTCTCCAGTCCCCTGCCAGTTTGTAACGGCATTGCTTTTTTATTAAAATTCTGCACATTTCTCGGTGGATATTACATGGTGTGGCTCTGCAACTCAGTGCATGCAAAGTTCATTTCAAATGTTTATCCAATATCTTGCGTTGAGGTGTACAGCAGCGGTAGATTTCATATTTGATGTGGTAATAATGCGAAGAATATTAGAAAATTTAAAATTTTTTTTGCTCAAAAATGGGAACGAATTTGTTTTTGGCTTCTCCTCCACTAGATACTTGTGACTAGCCATTCTGTGAAGGCTCACACAAATACATATGTAGGTAAATAGTGTATGCAACTGACAGGTGAATTTCCACCACAGCCTAGACTCGTGCTGTGCGAAACTGCTCTTCGAAAGAGTGTTTTGGTAAAATATTAAAAAATATTTTTATTAAAATTATGTCAGTCTTCTCGGTGTGCACGCCACCAGGCTTACATACAAACGTTATACATGTTATGATATAAAATAGTGAAGTGTTTGAGCAAACCCGATTTGGAAATTCTTTCAAACTGTTGCTTCATTTTAATGTGAACTGCTTGCTTGGTTTTATTAAGCAAACAAAGAGATATGTATGTACGTAAACGAAATGGATCACAATGCTTTGATAAACATTTAATAATTAGTAACAGCTGTTCGATTTAATAAATATTGAAAGGTCAAAGCAAAATATTGTGCAATAAAAGTTTATTTCAAACAAGAAGAAATGATATTATAACTTAGGCAATAATTCGAGCCAAATTTCATGACGATATATCATCAAGCGAAAAAGTTTCCCTTACAAAAACTTGGTTTTGATCGTTTTTATGGCACCTTTAGTAGACCGATAGCGGTGGTTCTGGCAAGTGAGTTGTTTTTAGAGAAGAGGAGACGTATTAAAATTTCCATAGAGATATCTCCAAAACTGAGGGATTAGCTCGCATACTACTATGCGCAAAAAATAGTAAGACCTAGTTCATAATTTTAAAATACTTAATTTATTCTTAAAAATCTATGTCGTCCCCTTCAAAGTAATCCCCCTTGGCTTCAATACACTTGTGCCAACGTTTTCCCAATCCAGTTGTTGAAGTTAATTTACGGAATGAGCGTAGCGATTCACGTTTAATGTTCTCAATTGACTTCAAACGGTTTCCCCAGAGCGGTCGTTTGAGTTTGCTGAATAGCCAAAAGTCGCACGGAGCTAAATCAAGCGAATACGGTGGTTGCGGCATGATATTCGTTGAAAATGTGGAGGTAAACTAACCAAGAAAATGACGCATAACACTCGAATAGTATTTCTTGTTGACAGTCGGTCAGAAAGTATTCGTACTGCGCCACACCTCAATAACCGAAGAAACCTGACAACATAATCTTGACCTTTTTAGACCTGCTTAAGCGTATTTTTTCGGCTTCGGCTCACCTTTGCCACGATATTCAGTCGATTGATCTTCTGTTTCCGGGTTGGAAGCATAGATCTAAGACTCATCGCCACTTCACGACGTAGTCGGAAAGCGTTGTTTCACCAACGTTAACTCGATGCTGTTTTTCAAAAAAAAATTAGTGAATTTGCAACCAAACGTGCTTTCACTTTTCTTGGGCCCAAATGGTATTTCAAAATGGTTTTCTCTGATCCTTCCCATATTCCAACGATGCCAGTAAGATCTCTGATCTTTTATTTCATTGAGACTGTTAGGTCTTTGATTGTTTTAAGTTGTCGCTATTTCGCATAAAGTCCTCTTGATAGAATACACCAGAGACTTTCCATATGGCTGAAGTGTGGACTAAGAGTGGGTCGGTCGAGAAATGGAATATTTGTTTATCTAGAAATCTTCCTTGTCTGCCTTAAACAATGAATTGCGGTATTATCTTATTGAAAAACAAGTCAAGGCCATATAACACTTCTGTTTTCTTTATCATCTTAGCTTGGAACAAATAGCTATAATTTGACGAGTTCATTTTTGTTGGAACCCATACCATTTCCATGGTTGCTATAAGAGCAAAAACTTGCCTACACCATAGCTTTTCCTTCTGATGCTGGCCATTGCAAATTCTTCATCAACTTGTTTAACATTCGGCATAGCTCAGACATTTTGTTTTATAAACGTCAGTTAATGCTGTCACTCAATTAATATAGCTTATTCCATTCACTACACCAGATTTAAACATGGTTGATATTAGGTAGTCAAAAAAGTCTATTCGTATTTTGTCAATGTACATAGATACATATATCGTTGAAGTCATATGTCTCTAGTGCTACCAATGAAATTATGTCATATCATGAAGTGTTAGAAAGGTGAGATTTTAAGCTTCAGTTTAAGTTTAAGTTTGATTATAAATGGGAAAAGACTTTTTCGACTAAAAAATATTTTGTTAATTATTTTTGCAATATATTTATAATTCTCTAATAGATTACAAAAGAAGGCATAAGAGTTTAGAAAATAACGGCAAACAGCTTTTGATTGATTTAAATCATATCACCCATCGGTTTCATTATGAGCTCGTGGATTAGTACATTTGATGGCTGCGAGAGCACATAAATTACGGCGCCTGAAACGTTTTCTGGTGTAAGAATTTTACCATCGACAATCTTTTTTTGAGCTTCTGTTATTAGTTCCGTATCAACGAGACCCGGACTGATGCTCTGTAAATAAAATGAAATAAATGTAATAAATATGAAAATTATAAATATTTTTTAATATTCGCTATAGGGTATTAAAACTTACAATATTGAAAAATGCGGGCTTAAATAAATAACTGTATCCTCTAATTTCCCAACTAAGTATTAAGTGGCAAGGATCCTGAATAACAATTTAAGTTATTCCGTGCTTTGTCGATCAGGTGTTAGTGTGATATGCACTCATTGAGGTTTGGTGATCCATAGTATTTATCTATTCCACCGTACTTACTTACTTAGATAAGTTCATGTGTTAATAGTTCTCTTCAGACTATTATTAAAAACTACTAAAAAAGACTTTGAAAGGTATCACTTAATTGAGGCACGCATACCTACTTACACCGACAATAGTCTATAGAGGTGTCTAACTACGGTTTCAGCCGATGCGCATGGATGACTAAATATTTGATATGAAATACATATATTTCAATCTAATAATAGTAATCTAATAAAAGTGTTATCATAGATCAGTCCGATTACCTTATCCTTTTGAATCTTCCCTGAAAAAGTACACTACGCCCCTTCCCCAATGGTTTCTTCATTCATATTTTCAACAAGAAGTCAAAGTCGAAAAAGAGCTCAGGGTATCCATACTCTTATCAACACCTACCGGCTATGTCTAGAAGCGATTTACTTCTGGGAATTTAAATTTCGCACGAAAACCCATTCGTCAAAAAAAATTTTTTTTTCTATGTTGGTATGACTGTCAGTGACATCTGTGCCATATATCAGATCTAAATAACCATTATTGTTTAGCATACGTTTGTGTTACTAAAGTACATAAAGTGCGTTCGACGATTTTTACGATGAGGCAACTACAAATAGGTCCTTTGAATTTTATGTACGGATACAAATTTCTAATGCCAAATCGTCCACAATGTTGGAAGAAGCCTTCGATGATAATTGTTTGTCGCGAACAAGTGTTATAGATTGATACAAATTATTCAAGGGGGCTCAAGAACGTGTTGACGACAAATCACGTCCAGAACGGCCGTCAGCAACAACTGGTCAATAAAATAAAGGAACTGGTGTTTAAGAATCGAAATTAAGAGTCTAAGATCTTACTTGCATTGTTAGAATATCGGGAGGACCAGTGAAATCATTTTGAAAGGTCACTTGCACCTAAGAAAAGTGCAAGCACGATTGGTTCCAAAATCAAAAAAACGTGACGTTAACGTCTGTAAAACAATGCTTCCCTACTACGAGGATATCTTGAATCTACGCTTATAACAAATCGGCCAAATATCGTGGCAAAGTTGAGCCGATGCCCAAAAAAATCACGTCAAAGAAGGTCAAAAGTTAAGGTTATGTCAACAGTTTTCTTTGATTATCGAAGTGTGACTCGCTCCGACTCCCTTCCGACCAGCCAAGCTGTCATCAGGGAATACTATTTTAATATTATGAGCCGTTTGCGCGAAGCTATTCGTAAAAAGAGATCGGAATTATGGGCCGACAACTCTTGATTTTTGCACTAAAATAAATCACCGTCGCACACTGCATTGATTCTTCGTGAGTTTTTCAACCAATATCCTGCCGCAACCCCCGATTTGCCTGATTTAGCTTCGAATGACTTCGGCAAGTTCGAACGACTGCACCGAAAAACTCGTTTTGAAGACTTTAAACGTGAATCGCTATGCGTATTGAAGTTTATCCAGGAATTTACTTTAACAACTGTTTCGAAGATTGGTGAAAAACGTAGGAACAAATGCCAAGACGGGTTACTTTGTGAGAGACGATACTGATATAGAAAAATGAGCTAAGAATTTTTATATTATGAAAAGAATCTTACTATTCTTGCTTATAGTAGTAGGTAAAATAAGCTTGATTGTAAATTATGTGTGGTTGTCTCTACTACTATTCTCACTAAAAATCATAGTTATGCAGTTTGACTAGCTTAACTTCGTAATGATTCCCAGCCAGCATTAGTATTTTACCGAAAAACTATATTGAACAATTTTACTCAGAAACACTAAGTCTTTAAGCTCACATTCAACATTCTCCATATAAACTCAAAGCTAAACGCTTTAACCTTTCCGCTAAATTGCTGCACTTTACACTTTATTCCATTTAATTTTCACTTTTACTACACCAAAATAAAGAGTCTGAAAATTGAAATTGAAATCCGACATTTTTCCAAGCGCTCTCAATGCCCGCCCAGCACGCCTTACTCACCGTCACCTTCACACGGGTACCCAACTCTTTGAACTCCTGCCGATAAATCTCGTTAATCGCTGTCAGCGCGAACTTGGTGGCCGGGTAAATGTTCAAGGTCGGCATGTGGCCCGGTATCACCGGCACCTTGTGTCCACAAATGCTATTTATCAATATCACATGCCCGTGGATACGGTGCGCCCGCATAGAGGCAAACACATGGCGTGTACAATTGACCACGCCCATAACATTCGTTTGCAACACCTCCTGCACCTCGCACTCGGCCATCGTCGCCAATTGGCCGGAACGCAAGCAACCGGCATTGTTGACCAACACATAGACGGGTCCGTGGTCGCGTATGATGCGCGTAAATGTCTCCGCCACATCCTGTGCATCGGCAATGTTGCATTTAATGGCGTGAAGGCGCGCACGCTGCTCGGCGGTGGGCAACTCTTGGCGCAACGCTTCGACGCGTTCGTAACGTCGCGCCAAACCGATAACAATTAAACCGGCTGCAATTAGATCGCGCACAATGGCGGCACCAATGCCCGAACTGGCGCCGGTCACCACCGCCAATTTCGCTTTTAATTGCTCCATTAGTGTTTCGGTGAAGTGAAGCACGCAAAGTAAGCCTGCAATTCGTTTGCACAGCACAAAGGTACAACCAACTCAGCGAAATGCCGTTGCTTTACTGGAATATAAAATTTCAAGTGCACTACTTTTTAAATGCAAAATTAAAGTTTACTTGTGGCAGAAGGGGTGTGCGGTTGTGGCAAGCATATACAAAAGTAAAAATGTAAAACTTGTCACTCGCTCGTCGCCACGAAAGCCGCAAAACAGCTTTCGATGCTGTAAGACTCTTATGCATTTAATCTGCCGCTATCAATTTTCACAGTTATATCAATGTCTATAGGTATGCCTGCATGACTTGTAGGCAAATGTGCAAAAAGTGAAATCGCTGAGGCGATAAAAAATGTAACAGAAGTAAGGAGGAGCTAAGCTGCAATTCGAGTAACCGATAAAAAAAATAAAAAAAAACTTTTCTACCGAAGCTATCATACCTTGCAAGAACTGTGATCGATCAATATATATATATAGTATATGCTACAGTGGTTCGATATCTGCCATTCCAACAAATCAACAGTTTCCTTCTGAGAAAATACGAGCAAAAAATTTCAGGCATATATCTCCAAAACTGATATATAGATAGACAGGTAGACAGGTATTTAGCGGGTGATCCCCGTCGAGGTACTTTTTCAAATAGCCTTTTTTTACATATCACGCGTGTGTCGTATCTAGTTATTATGCTATTTTTTCACTGTTGTTTAGCATTTCATCACGGAAGGACCTGAAATTCACCTTCCGTAAAGAATGTGTTTCTCTCGCTTCGCTCAACTTATAGTCACCTTAATCGGCCTATTGAGCATACTATTCGCAACACCATCACCCATCTTCAGACCCAGCGTTCTTTATTGAATAATATTCGACCGAATTGACCACGTTCAGCACGCAGTGAAGAAAATATAGCAGCCGTAGCTAGAAGTGTACACGAAGATCGTGGAGAGTCGATTCGGCGCCGTTCGCAGCAACACGAACTGACATATGGATCGACTTGCCGTATTTTACGTCGAGATCTTAAACTGAAAGCATACAAAATACAGTTTGCCCAAGAACTGAAACCGCTCGACCTGCACAAGCGACATCGCTTTGCTCTATTAACTTTTGAAAATTTTCAAGAAAATCAAATGTTTTCTACCCAAATTTTGTTTAGCCATTAGGCTCACTTCTGGCTCAATGAGCATTTCAGACGAAGAGCAACCTCAAAAGGCACAAGAGCTGCCATTTCATCCAGGGAAAACAACAATTTGTTTTGGCTTGTGGCCCGGTGGAATCATCGGTCCATATTTCTTCAAAAATGACTCCAGTGAGAACACAATCGTCATATCGCGCAGTGATAACCGACTATTTGACGTCTGAAATTGAAGCCCGTGATCTCAATGACATTTGGTTTCAAGAAGACGGCACCGCTTGATCAGATATTTTCACGTTTTGGACAGGTCGTCTAGTCACCAAGATCGTGTGATATCACACTGTTAGGCTTTTTCCTGTGAGTATATTTAAAATTCAAAGTCTATGCGGAAAATTGCACTTCGATTCAGGCCTTGAAGCAAAACATCACACATGTCATTCGCCAGTTACCCACACAGGCCTTTTCAAAATTTTCTAACCAAATTCGCACCAGAGGTCGATGTAGTGCAGTTAGGTGAGGTTAAGGGATTTTATCTGAATTGGCGACAGATTTCATGTTTTTAAAGTATTTTTGAGTAAAGAGCTTTATGGGCTTGAAATTAGTAGTCCGATTTCACCCATTTGTATTATCGGCATCTTTAAAACACTTTCCCTATCATATATATACATATGGTATATAACGGGTTTTTCAATAGATACGCTACAAAGTAAACCAATGAGGACAGCAAATCACGCCATATTTTTTACCGCTCTTTCGATATTTGTCTTCAGTAAGGTTTGCCATTTCATCATGATATGGCAAGATATACAACAACGAGCGATACAAAAGTTTTTTTTTGTTTTTTAATAAAACGAAAACTGTTTGCGATACCACTGAAATTATTTCATCCTGTGAAACTGTTGCATCTCGAAAAAATTACGGCTTGGTGCAGTTTCTAGGCCGGCGGCGTCATTGGGTAGTACTTCTTTCAAGACCGGCTTTTACTTTGAATGGGAATCGCTGCCACTCAATGATAACCGCATATTTTTGACCCGAATAGGATGATATGGGCTTGGATAATATCTGGTTCGAACAGGACGGCATCACAAGTCACACAACAAATGTCACAATCGAGTTATTGAAAACAAAGTTTGGTGAACGTGTTATCTCACGAAATGGCCTAGTTACAATTTATACTGAACAAAATTCTAAAGACCATTTGAATTTTTCTTTACATAACTATGCTACTATACTCATCATTATGTACTTTCATCTTATCTATGAGATCTTAAAGAAGCCATTAAGCCTTGTGTGCTTGTAATGGCATTCTGTTTCTTTCAAACATTAAGCATTGCTTGAAAAAAGCCTCTCTTGAAGTTCTCAAATTACTGTTGTAGCATTTACCAAGCATGACCTAAAGCATAGAATAAATAAAAAAACTTAACAGCTCAATATCATCTTGTATACTTATGTATATATAAAGAACTTTCAAGTTTCCACTGTCGGAGAATATTTTACCTCGGTAATCACACAGTTATTCAGAAAGGTATCAAGAGGCAGAAACTGCATAGAGATGTTTTCATTCTTATGCCTACCTTTTTGATTGATCTTTCTCTTTGCGTTTTAATTTTGTCTGAGAGAAAGCCACAGTCATTGAATTTGGCATAATAAGAAGCATTCGAAATAAGAGAGCATACCAAGGACTTAAAGTAAAAGGTCTAATAAAAATAAATCCATTATTTTTACAATAAATTAAACGATTTATTTAGTATTATTAATATTATCCGTTTTATGAGCAATATTTAGCACTATGTAGTTCAATATCTTGTTGGCATTTTGTGGGAAATTCCAACCGCCACTCTAATAGAAACCCTCATCCATATTGACAGAAGTCTGGGAGAATTTCACCAGCAAAATCATTCGACATAGACTTTCACAGGTGCTAATCACTAGGAGGATGCCTTCTGGCGAATATTATAGAAGCATGTGGCGCTGGATTACATGATCCTATTGTTGATATTACAGGTCACAATTAATAGGTCGTAGGTAGCATTTTCCCTGACTTGTGACATAGTACACTGGCTTGGTGTAATACCACGTTCGTTTTTTTTAAATACTGCCCCTTCGTTGTGTAATAATGCTGTGTAATAGTCGCTGGTGGTCGTCCTTCCTTTTTCAAGATAGTCAATTAAAATTATTCTATGTGCATCCCAAAATGCAGAAGTTATAGATAAGAAGCGTTGCGGTTTTTCACGTTTTGAAGTGTGTTCATCGTGTGCAGTCGACTCGGTTGACTGTCGATTGGACTTCGGAGTGCAATGATGAAGTCATATTTCATTCTTTGTCACATATCGACGCAAAAACTTGAACATCTCCGAATGGATAGCGGTGCAATCCTCATTTTGCAATCTAATCTCTAAAAGCTGCTCCGACTCACAAGCTCGGCGTTGTTATACTCGTGATTAACGAAGTTACTGAGACCCCTTTCATATATACATATGTATGAGTATGTATGTAAAGAGTACAAGGTTCCCTACTTTTTAAAGAAAAAAAAAACACAGATACTTCAAATTTAAGGAGGATTGTTTATAATCATTCGAAAAACCCAATATTTGACAATTATTTTTTGATGATTTTCTCTTTCATATGTTGGCCCCGGCGACGTCTCAGATGGTCTATCCGTTGAGTCCAATTTTCGATGACTCGTTCGATCATTTCGGCACACACACACAGAGAAAAGTCCAACGCTGCGATATCACACGATCTTGGTGGTGTCGCATTTCACATTCCATCGGCTCAGAACGTGAAATTATCTGCTCACCGAAGAGTTCTCTCAATAACTCCATTGCCATATGCGATGTGTGGGAGTGGCGCTATGATGTTGAAAGCAAATGTCGCCGAGATCAGGATCTTTGATTTCAGACATCAAGTAGTCGGTTATCATGGCGCGATAACGGTCCCCATACTCGTTTGCGTTCTCACTGGCATCGTTTTTGAAGAAATATGGACCGACGATTCCAGTCATAAAACACACCAAACCGTTGTTTTTTCTGGATGAAATGACAGCCATAAATCTAAATGAAAAAAGGACATGCAACAGCATCATCCGTTATATAAAAAAATAACGTCATACAACATTTTTGATTTTTTTTTGTAATTTCTCAATATTTATTTCATCAATTAACTATTAAATTCATAATATGTATATATGCTTTTACGGTAATATTTATAAGTATTTATGTATATATATATATATATATATTTATGTACTATGTATAACACATGTATTTTTTATTCACTTTTTACTTATAAGTACAACTTATTCTCATTTAATCAATACCCGCCGGAATACACCTCACTTCACTAAAATGCTCAACCGAAACGATTACAAATCTTCAATCTTTAAGGAATCTACAATGCTTAGTTTTAGACGAAAATTTTGTCTCAAATGGTTTTAGTTAGTTACTTTAGTTATTTTCTTCTAATCAAGGGATTTTAGTTTCTTATTATTTTTTTGCAATGCATACTATGCCATTGGATTACTTAGTCCTTTTACACAGTATTCTTGATTTTTTTTGTTTTTTTGGTAATTTTATATCTTTTCTAAACAGCAGTTGTACATTTTAAAAAGTTTAGCATATTTCTTCACTCTCCACAGTTGCGCGTTATCACTTAAACTCGTATATTTTGTATATAGGTTTGTATAATTTTATTTATTTTTTAACTTTACTCTATAAGGAAATAAATTTCACTTAAATTACACAATGGGAGCTTTTAGTCGATTTGCATGCATTTATTTAAGTTTTTTTTAAACGAAAATATCAGTTATTTTTAGTAAAATTTATTTTTATTTACATACATAAGTTGGGCGTGGTACTGAGGGTTTGATTTGAAATTATCTGCTAGTAGCGGTCATCTGAACCTCTTTTGGTGTCAAATTCAGTTACCTA